CGTTCTTAAATTCACCTGTCTTCCCTAATTCTGCAAGAAAGTTTGGGGTAGGACAAGGACAATCCCTTTATTAAATCAGTTAGGAAACCCAGGGTGTCTGCAGAAGACCCCAGCATGAGGAGCTATGATTGACACCAGGCAGGAAAATAATGGTTATAGCCTGAAGCATGGGGCACGGCAGCACACTTGGGGAAGCACCTGTGCACAAGACATGACAGGCTGGTTGCAATGGTACATGCCCGTAATCTCAGCTACTTGGGAACCTGAGGCAGGAGGGTCACAAGTTCCAGGTCAACCCCAGTAACTTAGTGAGACCTGTCTCAAAATAAAAAGGATTGGGCATGTTGCTTAGTGGTAGAGCACTTCCCTAGCATGTAAAGGCCCTGGATTAAATCCCTAGCAACACAAAAAAATAAAATAATAAAAAGTCACAACAGTGGGCAAAGGCAAGACACTGCAACAACCAGCCCCTGCCTCCTAGTGTCTACCTTGTACCTTGAATACTTGCTGAACATGTTGTATGTAACCATATATTTAAGACCCTCTGATTATATAATACCTCTCATTGTAAAACAGTATAAAAAATTTCAAGAGGGGGCTAAGGATATAGCTCAGTTGTAGAGTGCCTGCCTTGCATGCACAAAGTCTTGGATTCAAACCCCAGCACCACCAAAAAAAAAAAAAAAAAAATTCCAAGAGGTATAAAGAGTAAGATGGAACCACAATCACCACCCAGAGATAACCACTGTTAATTTGTGTCCTTTATATTTCATGTAATACATCATGAGCCTTTTCCTCTGTCATGAACTGTTCTTCTACAATATGACTGTTAAAGTCTGTCGTATGACAGTACCCTCTTCTTATAAAAATCAATCTTTGAGGGCACTTGCTTTGTTCCTCATTTCTCGTTATCAGGATCAAGCTTGGTGATGAAAATCTTTGCACAATAAACTTTGACACACATTTCTGGTTACTGGTTGTAAAAGATACAACCCTAGAAGTGGAATTCCTGGGAGAGATACTCAACCTTCTGCCTGTAGCGGTACCCTGCACCAATGCTCCTCCTCCCATTGTTTTAAGAATCTGAAAGGTGTGGAGCAGCACATTGATGAAATAACACCTGCTTAGTGTAGTCCCCACCCTTGAAGATAGTGACACCTGTGGCAGGATTATGAGCTTTGGTGTTCACCTCCAGGGTCATTTGTAGCTTCAAGCAGGAAGTGACATCTGATCAAGTGTTCCTCTCTGCTGCAGGCCAGCTGAATTGAGAACTCTAAGAGACGGAAGGCCCACTTTAGTTTGCTAGCCCACCAGGTACCCAGGACCCATGGAGACATTTGTGGGAAAGTCCCATTAACTGTACATCTTTTAACCTGTCACTTGGTGCCCACATCCACAGATATAGGACTCACTGTGTGCCAGGTTCTGTGCCACCTGACCTTACATTCAAGTCTCACAAGAGCTCTGTTAGGCTTTCCATAGGGAAACTTTAAAGTCCTAAACAGGGTCACACAGAAAATGGAAGACTAAGATCTGAGTTCAGGATACCAAAGATCAAGCCCACACTTTAATCACAATGCTAATAATGCTAACAACAATCATCTTATCAATAATACACAATTTGCATTTGTGTGAAAGATCTTTAAATATACCTAACTTCAGTGGCATAAAATCAAAGGAAGGATCTGCCTGCATTTGCATTTGGTGAACAGGCACGCTCCTGCCTTCCTTCATTTTTTAAAAAATATATATATTTTTAGTTGTAGGTGGACACAATACCTTTATTGTATTTATTTATTTTCATGTGGTGCTGAGGATCAAACCCGTTGCCTCACATGTGCTAGGCAAACGCTCTACCACTGAGCTACAATCCCAAGCCCTGCTTTCCTTTCTTACAAGTTCCTTTTGGCCTGGCCTGGGTTTGCCTTGAAGCTGACTCCTGCCCACTCCCCGGAGTTTCTGAAAAGCAAGAATAGAAAAGAACAGGCAGAGCTATTTCACCCTAGGAGAAAAAAAAAATTCCCCTAATTTTTCACTGATAATTTCTTTGAGAATCCCTGCCTTTGTTCATATGCAGAGCTGGGTGTGGTTATCTGCCTGGGCCTAGGACCTTGCAACAACAAGTCCAGAAAAATGTATCCCCATCAAGGCTAAAAGGTGACAAGGAGAAAAGGAGCAGATGAATGGAACCACTGCAAACCTCTAGGAACATGGTCAACTATTAAGAACCCCAGAGTTCATTCTAAGTTTAATTTTTCCCCCTTCAAACCTCACCTCCCACCTTCACCCTAGACCACCACAAAACAGCCAGGGGTGGATAGAGATGATTTTATTTTGTCCCTGGAAAAGTCTCAGGGTTCAAGCTCCTTGTGGGCATGGAGCCCATCTCCATAAGTCCCCAAAGAATCCAAGGTCTCCTCTTCACAGAACAGTTAGCAGCTACTACTTAACAGGTGCCTAGCACTTGCTGAGTACAGCCTTGGGTGTTCTCTGTATCCCAGTTCATTTAATCCTCACAATAATCCCATGTGGTGGGTTATTCTCCATCTTATAGAGCATTTAAGCGTTTTGCTCACAGTTCCATACATAGGAGGAGCAGGAATCAGGAGGCAGTGATTGTATGTGTGTGTGCCTTGTCCATTACTGTGTCCTGTGTCCCCAGCACACACTGGAATAAAGGCTGTAAGAAGGTCATATCATCCATAAATGTAAAAATGTGGCGTAACATCCTCACCAGAAAGAAGCCAGGGGACTAAATGCACAACACTTGCATTAAACTTTCCCTTAATCCCAAAGAGCCCATTTAAATATTATCTTACTATAAGAGTGCTTAAGCAGTGTTTGTGTCCATCATCCTCCTTCACTGCATCCTCTACATCTCCTTTTTCTTGAGCTGCTTCTGATTTTGTTCCTGTGGGCAGTGAGGACAGAATAAGCCAGGGTTGGGCTAGAACACAGACATGTTATTGATGACCCAATATGCCAAGGACAGCAAAAATATAGTTTCCTCCCTCCTCCACCTACTTTTCTCCTCCTGTAATTTAATTTAAGCCTATAAAGGAAAGCTGGGCTTTGCTTCCTCCAAAGTTGACATTTCCTGAGGCAGGGGATGTAGCTCAGTGGTAGAGCACATACTTGGCATGGCCTCGAGTTCAATGCCCAGCACCAAAAAAAAAAAAGTTAACATTGCCACACAAAGGCAAAAACAGTGGCAAGTCCCCACAGATGTTAGAACTATAAGAACCCTAAGGCAACTGTAACAACAAACTCCAACTTTCTAACACTGTGGTAAAAATTAGGATTTCTCATGCTATCCATGTTTCCTCCATGAATAGTAAAGTACAAGCTGTAACTTATTTTAATGAAAGAAGAGGAAGTCACTTGTAGCACTGCCCTGAGGTTCTTCAGATTGAGATCCACTTGCTTAAATTCTGAACCAGATTTACTCTCAACATTTGGATTGAGAAAGAAACCAAGTCACTATAATTGCTACTGGAGACTTTTCCTTTCTCTTAAACTCTATTGAGGGACTATTGATAAGGAACGACAGACAATGCTTCCCTCAGATGTTTCAACCCCAGGGCTGCCAACCCCTCGGTTGTGCCCTTGGTAAAGCTATCCAATTTCTGGAGTTTGGGATCTTGAACATTTCTTTCTATATCAAGTGGAGGTGAGAAAAGGCATGAGTAGTTGGCCCGGGAACTATCTTTGCCAATACCCAAAGTGGTCCATTAGCGCTTTCTCTCTACTGGCCACCTTATGAGGAGGTTCTCTGTTGCCCTTGACCACAAAGACATTATGAGGTCCATCTCTATCTGAATAGCTAGACCTATACCAAGGGGCCATGTGAAGTAGTCTAGGTGGGCTCCGCCACTAGCCAGCCATGAAATCTGAGAACCTCTCCAAGCCTGTTTCCTTGTTTACAAAATGGACATAGAAGATTACCCACCTCAAAAATAGCTGTGAAGATAAATGCTATCATGATCACACATGTCAAGCACTTGGCACTCAAATTCAGACTCCTAAAAGAAGGAGAAATGACAAAGACCAAAGGAAAGAAGAAATCAACAGGTAAAACAAGCAGCAGCACCCTAGGCCACTATGAATAGGAAAAATGAAGGAAGTGCCAAGGTGAGGGGCAAGAACTTGGGATTTCTTCCTCTCAGTGATCCACTGTGCTTTGCTCAAAGCTGGTTTATATTATCCTCTCTTTCCATTTCCCTTGAGGACAGGTTGCAGAACCTCAGCACCACACAATCTCAAGGGAATATGAGAAGGGATAGGTGAATGGGAAAATCCATTTAGTAATATTTAGTGTGTTCTGAAGACCCAAAATGTAAAACATATCTTTTTCAGGGAATGGCTCAAAGGCTTGTATTCTGTGTATACTATTTCTTCACACCCACTTGAGGACATTTGCCCATTTTCTGAACACTGACGTGTGCTGCAGCATATCACCGTTTAATTCACCACCCTCTGAAGTAGGGAGTTTGGCCCATTTATAGGTAGGAAATCAAGGAGTAGACTCTCACATAATCTTACAGTTGTGGGGTCACAGCAACGGCAGCCAGGCTGGGACCTGAACCTGAAGTTGATGGGCAATAAGAAGTTACCTTGCAGAGCATAAAGAGTGCATAGAAGGTGAAAGAATGTCTCCTGGAAGAATGAGCAGACATCTCTTTTTCTAATTTGTGTGTGGCTCCCAAATTCCAGTGTCTTGTTTTCAAACTTCTGAAAACGAATCCATTTGTTCTGAGAGTCAGATTTCTTCTGTAAGAAACAGTATTGTAGCAGGAAGGCCTCCTGACACAGACAGGTGAAACGCCAGTGCCTGCTGAGGGATGTAAATGGTCCAAGGTGGTGGGTTTCTCTTCTCTAAAGGGCAAGAAATACTGACCCACTCACCTCTTCTTCCTGAGGCAGAACCCTCCAAAAACTGCCAGGAGCCTCAGCTAGCTAGGAAACAGGACAGGTATTCTAAATAACAAACCACTACAGTCTTAAAACAAAAACATTTTATTTGATGCAGAAATTCTAAGGTACAAAACCATTTTGCAAATGTCAGCTGTGGTCTACTATCACTTATTTACAGAGTTATACACAAATCAAACATGTCACTAACATTTTCAATGTAAAAATACAGCACATTGCTACAGTCTGTCAGTGCTCATTATTCCACCAAAGATAAACTGAAAGATGAAATAAAAACAATGACATTAATGACCACTGGTGTTCCACAGGCTTTCCTCCTAGAACATAGGAAAAGGGAGTTTTTGCAGTGGAAAAAAAGAAAAAAAATTTTAACAGTGAAAATCATAGTTACCTACTCTCTAAATGAACACAGTTCATTACAGAAGTTTTTGCTGCTGTCCAGACTCACTATGCAAAAAAGCATCATGAGAGAAATAAAACTTTTTAAATAACAGATGAGCATGTTAGTGTCATCCAACGGCAATTTTTGTCTACAGTTGCAGCATTCACTTATGTCCACATCATATACAAATAGAAAACTGCTCTTTTGAATCTTCTTGACTGGAATTTTATATAATATAAATGTGAGATGTACAACAGGAATAGTTTGTTTTTGTCAGTCTTCGGATTGTGCAAAACACAGTGGTTGGTCAACGGAGAGCCATGGCGCTAGCCCCCTGGAATGCAGAAGAAGTCCTTGAGGTGTCTGTGGTTCCCATGGAATTCTGGAGAGGAACCAAAGAGCAGGAGAGAAGACAATTGGCCAAAATTCCCCAGAGGTCCTCATTGGAGGATTCAAAGGTGTCTGCAAATTAGTCCCCAGATGACAATGGGAAGGTGGCACTTAGCAACTAAACTGCTGCATCATCTCACCAGTGGTTAAACTGAAGTCTGTACCATGTAGTGATATTATGAGTCACCAAATAAAGGTAAAGATATGCAAAAATAGAATCACAAATTGGGAGGGTAGGGTAGCTGCCACTCAGAAGGTAAGAGCTGGTCTAAAAGAGTATCCTGAAGTTCAGGAACGACAATCAACACATCAGAAGTAAGCACCAAATGTTTGCCCTTAGGAAGGAAAATAAACCACAAAATAGGACTGTTACCAAGGGCAGGAGGAGAGGGGAGTGGCAGCCTACTAATTCTTAGAATGAATATAAGCAACACACCATTTTTTAAAAGTGCCATTCTATTTCTACATGCTAAGAGGCACTGGGCACATATGAATTTCCCTATAATCCCACCCTGAGCTTGGCCATCACAAGGCACCAATATGAAGAAGGCACCAATGTTCTGTTTGAGCAACTAAAACAAGTGTGAAACTGAGAAACTAAAGAGCAGTGAAAATTATTAAGCCTTTGGAAAACAGGAGCTGTGAAGAATGGTTTAACTGGGTGGGATTATTTACCACTGAAATAAAAACACCAGGGGGATGACTTCACTGTGGTTTTCAGATACACGGGAAGGTGACCAGCTGTTCTTTCTCCACTACACCCTCAACAAAAGAAAGCTGGTTTGCATTTCTATAAGGAAGAACATACAAAAAACTATCTGATCAGCAGGGTAGGTTACAGAATCTCCTTTAGTAAAAGTCCACAATTTCATCTGCAGCCATATGTCTGGAATAATTCAGTGCAGCCCCTGTCTTGACACCAGGGAGGGAACATGTGAGATAATCTAAACTTTCTTCTAGCCCTCGAGGTCTGAAATGGGAATCAAAGCTATTGGCTTACAGATTTTCTTTTGTTTACTTTCACCCTGTGCCTGGGAAGGAGGGGAAACAGCAAGGGCGACCCAACACCCACAGGGTCTCCCCTGTATCTCAACATCAGGAAAAGCTTTTCTCCGTCCACAGTTTCACACAGCCAAGAGTCAATTCACAGATCATTTAAAACAGAAGGTAATGCATATCTGGCTGTAGTGGACACTAGGAGATTCTTTGCCTTATTACCCACATATGCCTGTTTTTCTAATTAGGTCTTGGTCTAAGTTCAGATTTGCACACCATCTAAAAAAGGATTACACATGAGCCCTAGGGGTTGTGGAGTTTAAGTGAAATTGTTCAAAACATTCTGTTTCTTAAATTGGAAGACAATAAATCTGAACTTGAAATTAAATGTAAAGAAGCAATTAAAACCTTACAAATACATTCAGAATCACCTCAAATTTCTTTGAAGGAGAGTTAGGGGAAAGAAATAATCCAGCTACTGGCTGGATATTAGTGGCATGGTTTATGTGTAATTACCATGGGTGACTTTCATTTCAAATCTTATAAAGCAGAGGTCACAAACTGGCAGCCAGGGAGCCAAATTAGGTCCATCTGTATGTTCTGTTGGTCTTGAATTTAAATATTTTAAAATTTTAGTTGCCAATATTAAAAGAAAGAAATTTTCAGCTTCTCTTGAGAAATGGGAAGATTGGGAAACACTTCATGTCCACAATCAACTGGAGCAGCCTCTCCCTGTAGGTAGGACAGAAGTTCTTCAGTTTGCCACAGTCCCCACCATGCCTTATTGTCACTCTGACAAAGAGAAGGTGTGCTGTTGCAATTTGTTATCACACAGCTAATTTGCTTATACCTGACTACACTGGTGCCCCTGAAGGTACAGGATCTGCTAAGAATAGATGTCTTCAACAACAGAAAAGACTAGTAACCTTCACATTGGCACTGCCCATCTCTCTCCAATAAAGAGAGTAATGTCTCTTCTTAAGAGAGCCAAATTAGTTTTGAGGTAGCCAGGGACTGCAGAATGTTCTTTCTTTGAGAAGGAGGGTATACCATTTCTTCTCCAGGGATAAAATAGCGTCCCTGCCGATTTAGTTTCTTGTAAAGGAAAAAAAATGCTCACCTCTGAAAAAAAACTCTTAAAATCATGTTAACCTACAGTTTTGGAGGACTAGCCTTCCTGTTTGCATGTACCTCAGGTAACCTGAGACTGGAGGTTGGTAAAAAACAAAACCAAAATATCTTGTGTTTATAGAATAGCAAGAGAGAACTTTAACAAACATACATGCAGGAACTTAAATCTCCGTAACCTACTACACATTGATTCTAATGATTGATGTCATCATTGGTAAGGACAATTTTTTTTTAAACTTCTGATCTGGGACTGTTTTTAGTTAATAACAAATCAACCAAAAGCTTTATCTCATGACTTTATGACCCAATCTCATTTTTTGTCTCAAAATACTGTTACCTGGCTGAGTCCCTAACTCAATACCCAGGACTGGACTGGAATGACTTCTGATTCTTTCAAGATCCTTGTGTTTCAAAGGCCCAAGTATCGATCCTCTGGAGGAGTTCTGCACCCAGTGTAGCTAGGCCTGGTCCATGAATATAGTCCCAGTTACTTGGAGCCAACTTCTCAGAGAAGAGCACACAATTACCTAGGTTTTAACCTCCCTGATCACTCTCTTGGCAAAGCTGACTGCATCATATACTAAATTCTTTCTGTGAGACATCGGAATTAAGGAGAATGACTAGCTTCCTACCTTGGGTATTCTTGGTTTTCTAGAGTCCTGGGATGAACACTGGTCTTCTTTGCAGAGGGCACTAACTTACCCATAAAAGCCTCTCACTCTCAGATCAAGGCCTTTCACTGAGCACATCACTATAATCTAATTCTTGTTTCCCGATATCTAAAACTAGCAAGTTGGCAGATTTTTTTTAATCCCATTTTATCATTTCCACTGTCAGACAGGTAGTTAGTCAAAAACTGCAACTCTACTTAGAATAGATGTTTTGCCTTAATCTACAACACAACTATTCCCATTGCTAGCATGATGTGGGGGTGGGAGAAAACAAAAGAGTGAAACTAATGAAACAAAAATTAGGAAGACAGACTTCTCAACTTATTCTGAATTAGGCAATCATACTGTAGGTTTTATTACTTGGTATTTTAGAGTCTGTGAATCAGAAACAATAGTTCAGAGAACTATTCAAACCCTAAATCCAAACTAAAAAACATTACCTGATTTTTGGACTAGCATCCTTTCTGTCCCTTCCATTTTTGTAACAAGTGAGTTCATGTATTGAACTCTCTGCCCCCGCCCTTGGACCTCAATTAATGCTCCTCTGAATGCTCCAAACTGTCCCTAGGGCCACTTTCTCAGAGATGCCTATTTCCTATGTGAAGCTGAATGTCTATTGTAAAAGCAGCTCCTAGGTTCCTTTGGGAGCATGAAACATCTCTTAGTCCAAATAAGAAATCTCTCTGGTAACGTTCCAAGTGAATTTTCATATGTTAGCAAGTTTGAACCCACTGATCTCCTTCACAGAATGTATGTGGACAATGAAAACAGCAGGGCAATTTTACTTGGGCAGGAGCTCTGTGCTTGTCCTGGATTCCACACAGAACATCTCTACCAAGAAGCCAGTTTCATGGGGAGACAGTCTTGCAGCTCACTGTCTCTCCCTCAGAGCAGCTGCAGGAAACTTGATGCCAGAGAACAGATGAGCACATTATCCCAAGAAGCTGCCAGCTGCCTTTACAGAGCAGGGAATAGTACATTTGAGTCCAAAATACACACAAACCTCTTTCCAGCAGAACTGCAAGCCTTCCCTTCCCTACCTGACAAGCACATGCTTGAAAGATAATGTTCTGCCCCATCCCACTTACCAATGTTGGTCCCATCTGATGAAGGAAAGCCACAATCCTTAGACTAAATGATGAGAAAATGGACCGCCAAAATCCAATGGCCCCCGGTGAAAAAGGTGTAGAGAGATGCTCATACCTGTGCCAGGGCATGGGGAGGGCAAGGGTTTCCAGAGAGGAGACTAACACATCATCACACACATGCAAATCAACAAACAGGATATGAACAAACATTTTCCCTTTGGAAACAGAGATTGTGTAGAGGAGTCATTCATAAAAATGTAACAATAACCTCTGTGATAGTCCCTTCATTTCTACTTTCTTAAAAGGAGACTTGTCATCAATCAAAACCAGTTGAGGAGATTAGCTCCACACACTGTTGTGTTTTTGCAAATTCTGATCCCTAATATTTATGATACAAGTTTAGACCAAAAGGCCAAAATGAAGCATGAACTACAACTTTCAAAAATACAGCCCAGTTGGGTAACAGTCTCTTAAAATAAATGTCCAGACACCATCATCTGAGCTACAGCTCAGTAAGTGTAACCCAAGGAAACTTGATAGGCAGCTCTGGCCTCCACATGATGCCTACTTAGATTATGAGAAGACTCTGAGAAAGAATGAGCAAGACAGTCGGCCTGTTTTATGGCCCCCTCATCAACCAGCCATGTCACCCAGCAATACATAAAGACTTTTTAAAAGGTGACTGGATATTCAGTCACTTCTTTGACATTGACTCAAAACTTATTTAACGTAATACCCCTGACATCGTAAGTTCCACATCAAAAATGGATAGGACATCATTTGCAATATAACAGATTCCAGAGAGAATGGCACTTGATTTCTGTGGCGATAATGACATTACAAGTGCTTTTTCCACAGATCATTTCAAATCAAAGTAACTAACAGTGAAGAGCAAAGTTTGTTTATGGCGCTCAGTGAAGTCTGAATGGTCATTGTGAGTATTATCCTGTTTCTTTTTAACTGTTTCCTCTCTACCTTTCAGAATAGGCTCTGATCCAAGAACTGACCTAATATAGCAAGGTCTTGTCAAACCCCATGGACATGCCTTTCAGAGTTCCATATGGTCTTGGAAAATTGGAGACTTTGCCAACATATTTGGTAGAGGGCTGGGGCTGCAGGAGCAAGTACTGGCCAGAATTTCACTCCAAATATCCTTTTATGAGCCCTCAGCTGCAAGAAGGCCATGTGACCAGAGATGAGCTATGGTACCAGAGAGTGGTGGCAGCTAAAGTGGCAATGCTTAGACTCTTCTGTTTTGTTACAAAGGGGCAACCGCATGGAGTTCATCAGTGTAGCTGCAGCAACCAAGTTCTGTTTTGCACACTCCAGAGGCAAGGAGCTTAGAAGGGAGGGTAGGAGGATCCTCCTCACCTAAGGAGAGAAAAGAGGACAGATCCACACAGTCATTGCATTTCACTGAACCTGGCGCCCATACAAAGATATGGTTGGAATTGCATTTGGAGTACAGGTTTTGCACAAATGATACAAGAATCAGAATCAGTTCAAGATGTAGCACTATTATCTTCTTAACAGATTCCAGTTCCTTTACCCTGAAGAAGGAAGATACCTTCCTTGAGGGTCAAGGGTTTCTATACATAATTCCAACTAGTTACAGGCATGGTAAGGAGCAGCCTGAGATAATATCCTGGGGTTCCCTGGGGGAAGTGGGCCCTCCTACAGAGCCCTCCTACTTAGGGCCCTATACTGAGCTAGAAGGGAAAAAGTATTGCTCCAATGAACCTCTAGTCCAACAGATGTGATTTTAAAGACAATGGAAAAGCCTGGAGTGGTGGCATACTCCTGTGATCCCAGCACTTAGAAGGCTGAGGCAAGAGAGATCTCAAGTTCAAGGTCAGCCTCAGCAATTTGGCAAGACCCTCAACAACTTAGCAAGATTCTGTCTCAAAATAAAATATAAAAAAAGCTGGGGATTGGGATGGGATTGTGGCTCAGAGGTAGAGCATTCACCTACCATGTGTGAGGAACTGGGTTTGATCCTCAGCACCACATAAAAATAAAGGTATTATGTCCACCTATAACTAAAAAATAAATATTTTTAAAAAGGCTGGGGATGTAGTTCAGTGGTAAAGTGCCTCTGGGTTCATTTAAGTTTTTGATACGAAAAAATTAAAATAAAGACAATGGAAAGGAAGGGTCCCAACAAAGACACAGTCCCATAAACCCTTACCCAACCCCCTGGCAGACAATGTATTTTGGTATTCCAATGTTTCTGGATTTCAAGAAGACAATATAATACACATACCATATGCTATCTAACCCCCCTTGTGGGGTCTAGGCAGCTTATCATAATTTAGTATCAGTATTTCTGCAGATCAAATATTCACATTACTTGGATAAATCCAGTCTACCAAAGAAACCATATTATTTCCTTTAGGTTTAATTGTCCAATAAGTCAGCACCAAAATTAGAAAAACACTTTGACGTACTTTAGAAATGTTGCGAAAGTGTGTACCACAAACCTGACTCAATAGCACCTTACCCAGCCCGGAGGAAGAGGACAAGCTCTCCGTCAGGGAAGAAGTTTCCGTCTGGTCCGTTGAGAGTCCTTCCATCAGAGGCAGAGACAGCTCAGACGAGGGCACAGATGAATCGTAGATGCCCGAGTCCCGCGGCATGTCTGAGGGGCTGCCCGCTTTCACAGCATGCAGCAAGGGCTGCAGTGTGGAGCCACCCTCCTGGGTGGACGGGGCCTCAGGGTCTTGGTCCAGGCACACGTGCTGACTCTCGGGGTGCGGGTGCGAGTCGGCAGGCCCAGTGGCCCCAAGAACGGCAGCCTCAGCCTTTAGGCAGAAATCACTTTCTGGTCCTGGTTTGCAGATGACGTCATTTAAAACCAAGCCTGAGTCAAACTTCTCCAGGACAGGCTCCCGGTAACGCAGGAGGGGAGGATGGAAGGGTAGGAACTGCTTCTCGAACCAGTCGGGCTCCTCGTCAATAAACTGGTGCATGTTGCAGATGGCGACATACAGGGAACGTCCAGACTTGCTCCGAAAGTAGTTCCTTCTGCTGCTGTGTCCCAGGTGCTGTCCTGGCTCCTGGAGGCTATGGTCTCCGGAGTGCAGGTGGGAGCAGAGCTGGGGAAGGTTGTCCATGAGTTTGTATTTAGTACTCAGGTCCAGGATGCAGGGGACATCACCTTCGCAGGAATAATCAAAGTAGACGGCGATGAACTTACTGAGCGCAGCAGATGAGCTCTGCTTTGCCTGGCGGAGCTTTTCAGCAATAGCCGCCACTGCCACCAGGAAGAGCTCCCCTTTGCCTGAGCCTCGGCCACCTCCTTTGTGTTTGTAGTTCTTCTTTTCCACAAAGTACTTCATTCCTTTGGAACACACCACGATGATGAACTGGGACTCATGGATCTTCTGTATGACCCATTCTCTCTGTCCTTCTCTACAGAGACTAAAATCTTCCCATAGGTCCAGTGTCACCTGGAAAGAAAACAAGGCAGCTCCCTCATCTACTCCACAGGAGACAGGAGTAACAAGATGGTGAATATCAGAGGAGGTCACATCATCTATAAGCACAGCTATGGGCAGGCTGTGTTGCAGACAAACAGCTGAGGTTCTACAGTGAGACTCACACACTAGGCCCTCTGAAAGGGCTTGCTATCCATCAACTCATTTTAGCATTATGTAAGGTCATTACCACTGGCACCCCAGAAGTGAGAAGATGGAAGCACTGAACTTTTACCAGCTGGTCTTAAGTCATCACAAGTATGGCCTCAAGGAACCCACAGTATGGTGCAGAGCACAGAGTATGAAGGGACTGATACTTTTATTATATGATAAGAGAGGCTGCCAAGGAGCAGATCCTGGAAAGAAGGCTAACAGACTAGACTCAAGAGGAGGATGAGTGAGCCAACTGTGCTGGAAAATGGGGCTCTGGCCTATATGCCAAAGTCATGCATCCAGAGAACATGGATGGCCAAGAGGATTTCTCTGGTAATGGTAACTCTTACCAACCTGGGTTCAGCCATGTTGTTTGGTCAATGCCAGAGAAGAGGTTGGTGAACTGATAAAACAACACAACTGGTTATGTTCTGGTTAACTCACTCCAGAATAACAAGCACCTTCCTTCACAGCTTCATAGAGATCTACAGTGTCACATCTCTACAAGGCTTATGATCAAGAAGGCCTCTGGGGTATGATCTCTGGTAGGGAGGTTGGTGGTGGTGGTGTATCCCTGATAAGGGAATGAAAATCAGGTATGTGTGACCCCTCAGAGGGTTTAACCTTTAACCACTTTCATCTGATTCTGCTGACAACAGGTCTTGACAATTGTGTTGGTATGAATGATTCCTTCTAAGTTTAAAAACAAATTCTCAATGACTATGACCAAACGTAGCAGATACAATGTTTTAGAAGGAGTGGGCACTCAGAAATGGCCTTGTTATCTTCCTCTGCTGTAAAATATTACCAAAGAAAAGAAAGCCCCAACATCCATCCACTGACTAAAAATAATCCTTAACTGTCTTATACTTTCCTTAATTCTTGCTGACATTATACATGCTAAAGCTAACTGGGAAAATACACCAAGCAAATTTTTTTAAATTCCTATCTTTGACTCAGCAATTCCATTTCCAGGCATTTATTCTGGGGAAATCATCAGAAATGGGGCAGTACTTAACTACTGAGAAGTTTAATAATATATATGAACTCATTTATAGTAAACACACACAACACTTTGGGGATTGAACCCAGAGCACTTCACCACTGAGCTACATTCTCAGTCCTTTTTTATTTTAAGACAGGGTCTTGTTAAGTTGCTGAGGCTGGCCTTGAACTTACCATCCTCCTAACTCAGCCTCCCAAGTTGCTGGGATTACAGGAGTAGTACATCAATACTATGGATCGTGTGACTATTTAAAATTTCAGTTTACATAGCATTGCTAATAATGTAGAAAATTATGAAGAGACAGAAGTAAACCATTCCAATCTGCCCAAAATGCAAAATTGTATATGTGAGTTCATTTGTGCAAAAAAAGACTGGGTAAAAATACATTAGATATGTTTGCGGTATCTGAAGATAGCATGTGCCACTGGCTAGATTTTGCAGTTGTTTTTCCAGCAGGTGCTTAAGGCCAAGCTTCTGGTTTTCACACAGGAGACTAGACCAGCCTTCAGATTCATTTAATTGACAGCAGAGGGCAGCCTTACCACATGGAGATAATCTGAAGACCAGGCTGACAGGCATTTTCAGAGTACAAATGACTTCTAGCTACACAATTACTGTACAATTATTGCATTTTTAAGAAACAGGACATGGTTTTCACTTGAGATTCACTCTAAAAATCAAAACTATGGCATTATAGAAAAGCTAAGTATTCATAGTTAACTCAAAAATTGCTAAAAAACTGAGCAATCAAGCATTTGACACATTACTATTTTATGGATTCCTCCCGTCCTACTGCCTGATTGTCTGCAGCTACTGCCTTCTCCTACATCACCAGTTTCTCCCTTTCCATGACTCTGTACCAGTCAATCATCAAAACTCAGGAGCACTTTGTTAAACATTCCTCCCTAGTCCCGCAAGATCTCTTCCTGCATCAGTCCCATTTTCCATTCCCCTTCTCAGCAAACTCTCTCATGCCCAGCACATGCTCACCAGGATGTCTTGAGTGACCCCTGAGTGGGATGTCCCACTCCGGTTACATAGTCCCATGGCAAGCCCATGATTTTTTTAGTGCTCATAAATCTTCCTTCCAGGTGGGTGCCACTCAAGGGTTTTAGGCATGAGAGTGTCAAGGTTGGAACCAAGTATTAAGAAACATTAGTGCTGGGCTGGGGTTGTGGCTCAGAGGTAGAGTGCTTGCCTAGCATTCATGAGGCACTGGGTTCAATCCTCAGCACCACATAAATATAAAATAAAGACATTGTGTCCACCTATAACTAAAAAATTAAAAAAGAAAAAAAGAAACATTAGTGCTGATGATGGGAAAGACAGACTGAAAGATCAAGGCAAGACTGTCTCCAGTTTGGAAACTATGCCATTAATTAAGGGCAGACCTAGAAGAGAGAGGCAGCAAAGAGGGAGTACAAACTATGTGTCCTGCCCACAGTAAAAGAATAGACTTTAGATTCCGCACCTCACAACCACAGAAGTCCTGGAGGAAGTAGGCAAAACACTGGACGACATTCATGTGATTCTGGCCATCTTTACTGGAATAGCACAGGAAGACCTTCGGCCGCGGCCTGAGCCTCTCCCTGGGGAGTGCTGCAGTATATGTGGAGGACTCAGAGCTCTCTTCATCTAAATGTGAATATATATTTTCTAAATTGGGAAAGAAGACAGGGTTGGTACCTATGAACAAAGCCTCATCTTGTTCCATATGACTTGGAACTCAACAACATCCTCAAGAAAGAACAGTTGACATGTCCACCTAGAGAGTCCTAATCCCACGACTCCATCAGACCCTTGGATCATCACTGAATGGGACAGTAGATTTCTGCAATGGAGCATCAAAAGATCAAAAACTGTTTCAAATCTGAAACTGACCTTGGACAAGCCAGGAAATGCTACAGGGTCCATTCTGGTCAGTGAAGTGCCCAGAACTGGCTCCTAAAATCAAGTGTACCTGCTAGACAAATTAAGCATTGGCGGAGTTGACCTTAAAAAAGTTTTATTGAAGTATAATTTACAAAGGTAAAGTACACACATCTCTTTCTCGAAAGAGAAATCTCTCTCTCTCTTTCTTTCTTATGGGCGGGGGGGGGGGGTCTCACAGGCCCAGACTGGCTTCCAACTCCTGGGCTAAAGCATCTCTACCTAAGTTTCCTCAGTATCTAGGAATACAGGCATGCACCATGCCCAGCTAAAAGTGCACAATTCTTCAGTGTACACCTTGATGAATTTTAATATAAGTGTCATCTGTGTAACCCCCATCTAAACCAAAGTATAGATTATTTCTAGCTCCTAAAAAGGGTTTCACACGACACCTGATTTTTATAAACGATCAGGTCCTTCCTCTATCCTTATTCCTGCATCAGACTTCCTTCATGCTCCTAAATTTAGTTTGAGAATTGAATTGTGCCTATCCTTTTAATGGTTCCTGAGATTTTACTCAACTATTTTAATTCTGGGAACTAGAGAAGCCAGGGACTGACTAGGAGCTAAGGTTTCCCAGACACCCACCTGGAAGAACCAGGTATTCCTAACCTCCCTCTCTGTTGGCTCTGACCCCTGACCTGCCCCCTGGGTGGGGAGGTGGAAAGAGACGAAGAGATACCTTGTTGCTTCTTACGGCACATCACAGTGAAGAGCGTTGCAAACGCCGATATGACAACCAGTGGCACTGTGATGGCCACAGCTCTGATGGGCCCAGCCCAGGGAGAATGCACTGAGAAATTTCAAACGGAAGGATTTTAAACTTGAGCAGCATAACAGGTTTAAAGATAAATAACTTTTTTCTTATAAACATTAAGCTGCCCCACAGGTTCTAGGGTCCCCAAAACCACTTATCTCTAGTTGTGGTGATTATAAAATGATTCAATGGTTCATTTTTAAAGGGTTGTACAAAATAATTCAACAGTTGAGTCTACTGAGACAGTAAATAGCTCTGAATGGGAACTTCGCCTAAGAAAACCTCTTCTCCCACCACTTTTCTCCCAAGGACAAGTGACTATTTATTTAGTTCCAGTGATAGATACCACACTGGCTTTGATCTTCCAGGCATCAACATGAAGGTGGAAGGAAACTCACATTTGATGGAATATCATTTAAGAGGGAGGTGCTGCATTTTGTTTTGTTTTTGTAAACCATAAAATATAGAAAGTATTAGATACCTTAAGTCTACAGTAGTCTAGAGCCCAAATTTCAAACACAACAATTCTTACCTGGCTTTAAGGCATAATGCATCACTTTTCTTGTTGTATTGGTATCATCTACCAGCTGCAAAACAGAGGACACTGTATTATTTTTTAAAAAAGTGATAGCACCTCAACAAATTGTGTCTAGCAGGTAGTGGGGCAGGACACAATACAACAGTGAATTCATTCATTATTCCATTTGGTGTGCAGGTGTGATGGGGGGTAGGAGCACAAGTAGAAAAGAATGGTTGAGGGACAGAGAGAGAGCTACTGGCCTGTAATTATTTACCAAGCTAAGACTAGGCATCAGGGTTCATCTCCGCTTTGCCGACTCAAAACTCTAACCATCCAATTTCCTGTCATGATTAAAAAGGCTGCTTATTCACTGAAGAAATTCAGTGAGTGAATCCCACAATCTAACAATTTTCTATTAAACTGGCATCCTACACTGATTTTACTGAGCCTGCATGAATACTTTCAGAAGGTGTGTCTGGCCCAAAACACACACTGCTACTGAGGAATGCAATAAGTAGGTCTTTCTACCAAAATGTTAGGACACGCTGGTTGTCTTTGAATCATACGGCAATGGACAAATTGTTAATTTACTTTTACCTCAATTCTTATAGTACCAATTTGATACTGGAAAAGGAATCTTAAAAAAGAAAAGAAACATATCATTTGCATACTCTTTGAAATAGTGTCTGTTGAGAATAGCAATGGAAATCCTAGAGCAATATAGGCAGATATAAAAGGACTAACTTTTGTTTTGCTGTTTAGGAATAAAATAAAACTTTCTTTCTTTTTTGCAGTGCTGCGCCTCAAACACAGAGCCTGGCACATGCTAGGCAAGTGCTCTACCACTGAGCTACACCCCAAAACAAAACATTTTTAAAGCTAAACTTTTAAAAACATATCTTTGTAGCATGAAAGAATATTATATAGAAATTTTATATCATAGTTATGTGGACTATGTGGTTACATAAAAATACACACTTGAACTCTTTAATGAAAAGATCAGATATCAATTATATATAAACTTTTTTAAAAAGCATAAGAACCATGTAAAAATACAACTGTGCTCACCTTCAATGGCTTGAAATATTAGTGCCATAAAGTTAAAACTGTACATGAACGACATCCTGTAGAATTAATAATAGGGCTTTCTATAGTTATACATACCTCAATTATATAATCCCCTGGAGAAACATTTTGAAGGAGGCAGCTGGTTGTCTCTGTATTTTGTTCCTGTAAAGAAGCAATCAACACTTTAAAAACTCACTTCTTGGAAAAGGGCATCAGAGACTCTTCTCTCCCCCAGAGCTGAAGGAGACTTGCCACCAGTCATACTTTCAGATGGTACAATTAGGTCAGAAAGCAGCTGCACTTCTCTGACTCATGTTATCTGAACTTCACATCTGGGTAAAAGGTAGAAAGCCCTGGACCCCTGTCATATTCTATCCTTAGCTGGTGGTGCCCTCAGCAGGAATATTTCATCTGAAGGCCCCCCCAAAAAAGTTCAAATACCCTCTAGTACCCTCTACTTAAAAAGGGAAAGGGAAAGATACTAGAGTCTAGGTTTGCATGTTATTTCATTTGCCACAATTTTAACCTGGACAGAAAGTCAAAGGTCAATGATAGAGGTGAGAACTAGCAAGAGAGCAGAACTAAGTCAGAACCCGACAAGTGCAGGGGCATGTGTAGGAAGGGACAGTGTTTGGCCACCATGACCAATAACCTCTCTTGGTCCTTGAGTGGGCAATCTGGCAATCCTGTGAGCTTCCAGGAAATGTTTCCCACTTCTCTGATCACTCTGATCTTGGTTACTGATCTTGGTTTAAGATTTTGATTACCTTAGCCTGTAGGTAGAACCAGGGGCCAGTGGACTGCTAATGGCTTGCTTCTAGTTCTAGTTTCCCTCCTTATCAGCTGTGTGGCTTTGATAAAGCTAGGTGACCTCCCTGAGTCTCAGATTCCCCATGTGTAAATGGGAATTACAGAAGCCTCTGTTTCAAAGAGTGCTCAAGATTCATGGAGTGGAAAGATCATCATTTGCCACACAATGAGCACTTGATGAATGTTCAAAACATAGAAAACAAACTAGAAATACTAATTCTTTTGATTCCTTAGAAATACTTTTTATAGATCATATCACTACTAGAACCGGTCAAGGTGTAGACAAGTAGGAAATAAGGGATGAAGGGAAGATGGCCTAAGATATAACCAGTGCTAAACATTCTAGAATATCTACTGATACTGCCACCAAAGCCTAGGGCTCACACTGAGCCACCCAAATTCCAGAGACCCAGGAGTCACTATAAACCACAAGGTGCTCCTTTATGCATAACCAGCAGCTCACCTGCTTACAGGTCTTTCGCTTGAAAGGTACTTCATGCTTGAGCTTGTAATGAAGATAGAAAAAATGGAAGCCAAAGTTGTGTGGTGCGTGGTCGAAGGACACCTGCATGTCTGAACCGTGCTGGGTAATGTTCAGGTTCCGAGGCTTCCAGACTGGGAGGAGGAAGCAGCCAGAGTGAGCATTCAGAGGCCTCCCAATGCTCTCACAGTGGCAACACTTTCAGACTTGACAGATAAGAACCGCTATACTTACAGGGTTTACAGGCAAGGTTGTCCGGTTGTAACAACAGGTCACAGGCTATTGAAAGAGATACATATCTTTAGTTTTAGGACAGTTTGAAATTTTCCTTACCCAGCAATTCAATAAAATTTAAATACACTATGCTTGGTGCTACTGGAAAGGGAATAAAATGCATCAATTCAACAATGATTTTTCACTGCAGGGCAGAAGTTCTATCTTATGAAAATTTAAATGGTATGATATAAAAAGGTTAATGTAGTTCACTTTACATAAGTGGAAACAGTATAAAAGTCACCCAGATTTTAAAAGCTTGTCAAACATTACATAGTTTGAAGGCTGGAAGCCAAGGGCAGCAGAACCATGTTCATGCTACTATCACATGGAGGCTGTTTCAACTGTTAACAGAAATAATGGTGGTCCCCACTCCACTGTGGAAGTGTCTAAGCACAAGAGAACTTTGGAGTGGCTCTGGTAACTGTCAAGGGGTTATTTTGATCATCATTAGCATTCTTATTTATAATCCTTTGTGGACTCTAAAAATGAAACATCAGGCATTTATTAAATAGTAGTGTCAGTGCTGAAAAACAGGTACTGAAACCAGTAACTTTGAAACAGGATTTAAATGTGATAAAAACACACATTTGAAGGGACAAATGACTAGCCCAACATGTCATGCTGCTAACCCAGGGAGAGTCTTCTGAAAATTCATACAATGCTCCCCCCTCCCCTAAAAAAGGATAGTTTCAAAGCTGCAATGCACTGAAATGGTGACAAAGGTCTGCATTCCAGGAATGTATGCCCTACCTCCACCTTACCCCCAAATACACAAATTAATTCCAATAGGAAAATTAATCTTAAATTATGCTCATTATTATCCAGGCAAGGTTCTTATAAACACACTCTTTGAATCCAACATCTGGTTATTATATACAAAGCATCGAGAAATGTGACATGTGCATGGTTTTTGCTCTATGGAATCTTACATTAATTAAGAAAATAAGACTAATTGTTATAACTTCGCAGCACAGAAAACAACCACAGTAGGAATTCTACAAAGGGAAACATGGACTCAGGCTAGAGTTGAGACCAAAAATCTCAAGAGCACAAGGATGACAATCAGACCACAAAAGAGGGGACATCAGTGTGATGGTTTAGATATGAGATGCCTCCCAAAAGTTCCTGTGTCAATGTGGGAATGTTCAGGGGTGAAATGATTAGATTATGAGACCTAGAACCTAATCCGTGAATTGGATGGGGGGTTTAATAATTTGAATGGACTAACTACATGGTAAATATAGGCAAATGGGGGATGGCTAGAAGAGGTAGGTCACCAGGGGCATGTCTTTGGTCTTTATGTTTTCCTGATGCCTCACTTGCTCTTCTCTGTTTCTTGGCTGTCTGAGCTGAGCAGTTTTCTTCTACTACGCCCTTCTGCCATGATGTTCTGCCTCACCTCAGCCCCATGCAATGGAATCTGATCATGGACTGACCCTCCAAAACCATAAGCCTAAAACCAACTTTTCTTCCTCTAAGTTGTTTGGGTCAGGTAGGTATTTTGGTGACAGCAACAAAAAGCTGAGAACAGAGCATCAAGATCATACTGATCAGGATCATGCCAAAGGGGCCAAAGGGGCCACTGAAAGTTTTAGGGGGACTGGACATCACATTTGAAAACAGTGATTTAGGAAGATTAAAAGAGACATGTACAGGGAAAGGGGAGCAACTGGGAACCCAGATGGCTCATGGTTGAAGGGAGGGAGGGACTCCATCGCTATATTTCTGAAGATCAAATTCAAGCTCCAACAAGCCCTTTTAACCCTGTGAGTCAAAACCCTAGTCAGTGGGGATGGTATCCTTATAGGATTGTTACAGAGATAAAGTGTATTAATACATGGAAAGCATTTAGAACAGGGCCTGGCACATGAATGTTAAGTAAGTTAAAATTTCTAGAAAGAGGTGGTCTCAGGAATACTGTTTAATTTTCTTAATCTAATCCTCACTACCATCTAATAACAGGTATAAAATGGAATTGTTTCATGCTCCCACCATACACCTCAAAATCAACTTACACTTTTGTTCCTGGGTTGTTGTTGTTTTTTCCCTTTAAGTATTTTTTTTAGTTGTAGATGAACACATAGTATCTTTATTTACTTTTATGTAGTGCTGAGGATTGAAGGGTGCCTCACACCTGGGAGAGAAGTGCTTTACCACTGAGCTACAACCCCACTCCTATTCCTGGATTTTAAAAAACCATTTGTTTTGTGTGTGTATGATGCTAGGGAATCAAACCCAAGGCCTTGCACATGCTAGGCAAATTCTCTACCATTGAACTATACCCCTAGCGCAAAAAAATCACATTATTTTAATACGTGGCTGTCTTAATGGTGGTTATAGTGTCCTCAAAAAAATCAGCCATCAGGTTTGTTTTACAATAAACCAGGAGTGGGTGTCTCTGGTTAGGTTAACAAAGCCTGGGCCAAACCTTCATTTTAAAAAGTATATTTTTAGAATTTTCCTCTGGATGCTTTTCTCCTCATCCTGCTTCTTTTGTACTGGTATCTGGTGTGATTTTGAATACATCTCTGTAGAGCAATCATGAAAAGCAAGAGAAACATCTCCTCAAGGGAACCAGGGAGGAAAGAGCATACTCACCCCGAGTTCTGAAAAAGAAAGGGTGGTAATTGCTTTCGTTTTTAATGGAAGGGAAAGGGACAATCTTTACAAAGTAATCCGTTTCAAATTTCATATTCAGGAAAGGTTGAGATTCCATTCCCTAAAAGGGAACAAAAACACATGTGGTGTCATGAAGAAATTACCCACCCTGTCACTCACACCTGAGACCTTCACTTCTACCCAAACTGTCTTTCAGACACAATTCAGAGCTGAGGATATGCGCCAGGGAAGCAGAAAGTCAGGTCCATTTCCTGGACCAAGTTTGGATTTGGATCTGTAATGCAGGAGATGGACAAGACTGTCTGTTTGTTCTCTGGCAAGAAAGCCATGGCTAGTTAAGCCTGAATCTCAGAGTTGCAGGGAGAGGACAGTGAGCCCACAAACCCCCGCAGAGTACAGACACTTTCTGGATGGCTGCTGGAATGTAACCTGAGAAGTGTGTTTACCAAAGAGAGGTGCTGAAGATCAGGCTGGTGTTGCCTCCCCATCCTAGCCCACCTTGGCAGGCAGGGTGGACCCCACGGCTCTGCTTCTCCAATTTCAGACTTTCAATAGACCATTCAGACCCCAGGAACAATGGCATGTCTTCAGGAGCACATTCCCCAAGTGTGACTTACAGTTCTTTTGAAGCTACTGTTGAGCTGCTTTGGGTCCTTTAGAATCAGTTGTTGGCACTGTCTTCCCTCCGACTTCAGCTCCTCCAGTATTACCCGAAATCCTTTTAGGAATTCAATGCCTAAGCAAAGCAGGATGCTTTTATGAAAAGCAAACCTAATTACTTCTGAACATACTCTCCTTCCTCCAAGATTAGGGTCCTCTCCACCTACACACCGAATGTAAAGACTTTGCTCTGCCTAGGACATCTGGGTGAACAGAAAGGAAATGAACATATCCTGCGGTCCTCTGGGATAGACAGGTGATTTTCTCTGTCCCACCATTACTACTATAATTAATCTCTAATCCACCAGGCCATTTCACAAATATCGACTGCCTCTGTAACATCAGGGTTCAAATATTTAGACCCAAGTCACAATTGATCATAAAAGTCTGCAGTGAACTATATAATTTCTAGGTCAGTGAACAAGGGGTATTCAGCTGACAATTCCCAATGCTGACTGGGAAGTGTTCCTCAACGACAATTCCACTTTAAGTTTTAGCTCTACATTTTTTTTAAGTTTCACTGAGCAGAGTACAAATTCCCAACATAGTGTCTGCACCTGAGGGGTTTCTAGACTAGAGAATAATAGTTTAGGAGAATGCTGATAGATTTACAAAGCATTTCTTGCTCTAATCACTGTAAGGCAGACACCCAAGGGCTGCCCAGTGTGTGCTCTTCACATAGCACTTAGAGGCCAGAGACACCCATGGCGCTGCTGAAAGGCACTGGCCCAGCCTCCTGCCACCTGAGCTTCCCCCACTGCACGTCCCACTAGATGCTTTCAAAAGGATTAAGCCCTGATGGCCACAAGAGCCAGCACCGGGGGTCTGTATCCCATGGAGACCAGAATGGTCCAACTGCAGCTGGAGATCCCCAAAGCTGGCCTCAATTGGTGAGATATCGATTTCACATTCTTTCTGAACACTAGACAAGGAGACATTTTCAAACCTCCCTCTCCCAGGGCAAAAGTAATTACACAGGATGCAATTAACCAGGTGGGAAAATTATTGATGGCAAAGGCCAAGGAAATCTTTTTCTTTTTCGAACAGGTTCTCCAATCCTGTAATTATTTGATGAACAGCACATTTTTCATGGTGGATAGGGTGGAGGCAACACAATCAGAACCTCACATTTTAGGGGTTCAGAGTGCTCAGAGCCCCAGAACTGATTCTAGTAGGTCAGGTTTCAATCACAAAGCTTCCTGCGGGGTGATGGCCAGCTAATCTACAGGCCCAGAGATTCAGACATAATGGCAAGACACAAGGTCTTTGGAACAACTACTATTTAGTAGATTTCATAGGAATTTGCCTTTTGAGTTTAAAAAACAATTTTTTAAGCAAATCCTTTGTGTTTATACAAAAATTTAATTTATGCAATGTTCCTGGAATTATTATTTTTTAACAAGAGCAAACTGATTAATATGATTAAAGGCCAGGCATCTCATGAAATCACCATGACAAACCTGGGTCTGGAGGTAGAGGCAGCAAATGTAATTCCTACACTGCAGGAACTTATTTACCATAAAACTAGTAACACCTTGTTATTATAAAAGATAGGCTATTTTATAAAGTAACCTCCCCTAAATGAACTTATTTGCTCTCTTTTACATCATTTAAACTCACTGATTCCTAACAATCACAGAAGTGCTATTATCTCCATTTACAAATGAGGAAATTGAGGTTTAAAGAAGTTAACTTGCTCAAGGTCACCAGGAATGACAGGACAGAAGCAGAATTCAAACCCAGGAAATATCTGACTTTAATTCAGTGTCCTTAACCCACATGTTTTCCTGCCTTCCAAGTTTTCCTGTTAGAACCTGATAGAACCTGTCCATCCCCCCCACATACACACCCATAAATCATCATTCAGGAAAAGCACAGCCTTCTGTGTTCCCTGTATTAGTCTTCCAACCACCAGCTCACACCTCTTACTTTTATTCTAATGAGAGAGCCCACAATTCCTTGGAACAAGCCCTTAACCATTTCAGCCTTATATGGAATGACCACTTCCCTTTTACCCATGGAGAATGTTTTTATCTTTAAATGTTAAGATAATATTATTTTTGGAAAACTCATGGGGTTCAGACTCAGAATTACTTCTGTGAACAGGGGAGTGAGGCCCTCAGCTCTAACCTTCCTCCCCCTGCACTCACCCCTCTGATGGTCGGGTTCTTCTGAGATTTATCCTCTTCAGATTAAGAAATCCAAGCTCAATCCCTGGCTATGTTTGGGAAAATATCTAAAATTGGTGGCAATGTCAGAGGGGCAGGTCTGAGGCCCAGATTCTGATGAAAACAATAGCCCCTCTGCTCTGAGAGCTCTCTCTGAACAGCTTGCATCTACTCTTGATAGACAGGGAATCAGGGGCTCTGTGAGCCACTTTAAAATGTTGATTCTGGGTTCAAACCCAGGCTCATCTGAACAAATGCCCCCTCCCCATGTCCATGCTTGACTAACCATCCCCGTCCTAGGTATCATCAGTTCATTCAAGAGGACATACATGCCAGGCACAGTGGTAAACGCCTGTAATCCCAGTGGCTCAGGCAGGAGGATCCCAAGTCTAAAACCACCTTAGCAAGACCCTGTCCAAAAATAAAAAATTTTTAAAAAGGCTGGGGATGTGGCTCAGTGGCCAAATGCCTCTGAGTCCAAACCCCAGTACCCCCACCCCCCAAAAAAAGAGGACAAACAGACATCCAAACAGCCAAACTGAATCCAGCCAGATAATGTGGGTTTGTTCTCTTTCTGTCCTCATTTTGATTTGGGGTTTTTGTTTTTGTTTTGGTCTCTCACAGCTTAAATAAAATTTTAATTAGCTGCCAACTTTGAAATCCTGAAAAATCACAATGTGTGTCAATGATGGGTCCATATATCTATGTGGTCACAGAGACCGCTAACACTGGCTGCCAAAGCCAGTCTGCCCCTGAATGGGCCATGGGCTTTCCTGACACTGTTACCACCTACCACCAACTAGCAGTGAGACATAGAGGCCAAGGACTTGGTGCCATTTATCACCTACACACTATTATTTTAGAAACCCACATGTCTCTCAAGGGTCAAAGAAAAAATGCGAAGAGCCATGGAGCAATCTTACACTGGGCAGAGTCAGCAAGTGCAAGCCTCAGAGAACCAAGTATGTCTGTGCCCCCATCCAACCTCGCCTCATCCTCTTCAAGACCTACCTGCCGCACATGTGAAATTCTTCTGGCATTAGGCACTAACCCGGCTCACCGGGGTGAACTTGATTTCTGAACACTTACCGAGGGACCCTGGAGACCAAAGAATGGTGACTGCCACTTGGTCGTGGCAAGCATACTGGCTGATGGTGATGTTCTGGGCATCAGCAATCATGTGCTTCCCCAACGGATTCAAGTAGGTGGTACAGTCTGGAAAGAACAGGAATGGTCTAATTTAAAATTTTATCTTTATTTTCAAGTTTGTCTTATCAAATTACACAAAGCATGTCCACAGCTGGCCAAATCCATTCCATTTCAAGTCACGTGCTTCAAAAGCCCAAACATGACATCAAGGTTGACGGACGTTTAGGTTACTACAAGATGCAACAGAGGAATTTGTTTATAGCATCACTACCACCACCCACCCTGAGTTAAATTCCAGGATGGTCCTGGGAGGATCATACATACACAGTGTGGACTGTGTGTGTGTGTGTGTGTGTGTGTGTCTGACTTGAACTCTGATGACATTTACCTAAGTGAATAAGTATTTGCATCAGTTCAGCTAGCTTTCAGCATTAAAAAGAGTGATCTGAAAGAAAACACTGCTAAATAATTTGGGGTTTATTTGTTTTTAGAAGAAACCTAGAAGGCAAGGTGTCAACTGGAAAGGAAGGAATCAAGGAATCAACCTGCAGATATGAATCCACAGGGGAGTGATTCACAGCCATGCTGTTAGCAATTCATTAGTGCCCAGGTAAGGATGCTAACTAGCATCCACAAAGGCAAGACTTTTGTTCTGAAACACTGTCATCAAACACACACACAATCTTCATCAAATCCAAAAAGCCCCACATTGCTCCCAAAATGAAAACCACCTCTGCTTCTTTGGTTTTTGTCTGAGTATATTACTCACTGTCACTTGTCAGTATAGCCACAATCATGGGAGCAGCAGCACCACCTGGTATTCCTAAACACACCTTCAAAATCTGTCTCCCCTAAAAAGTTGCCAGAAGCTTTCAGCCAAAATCAGGCTAGGACTTGAGAAGCTGGCTGTGAGATGGCTGTTCTGGCCACTTTAACAAAAGAACCATTGGTTGTCCCTAGAAGATACCAACTATTGCTTCATCTTTGTTTCTTTCTCCATGATTCAATTTGAATACCCTCTTTAGTGTCTACTGCAAAAAGTTCTCTTCATCAAAGGTCTAAATCTGTCTGTTTCTCTGCTGAAGCGGGAGGTTTTTCTTTGGAGTGAAATATTCCGGAGCATTTTCTTTTCTCTCCCTTTTTTTTTTTTCCTCTCTCTCTCTCTTTTTTTTTTTTTTTTTTTTGGTATCAAGGGGCACTTAACCCCTGAGCCACATCCCCAGCCCTTTTTATTTTGAGACAGGGTATTACTAAGTTGTTAGGGCCTCGCTAAATTGCTGAGGCTAGCCTCAAACTTGCAATCCTCCTGCCTCAGCCTCCTGAGTCACTGGGAATTCAAATGTGTGCCACCACACCCAGCTATGTTGCCCATTTTTAACTAAAAATAGACATTTAAAAACCACAAAGGAATATACCAACAAGTCATCCATACTCTTCTTACAGGATATAACTGCTATTAACATTCCAATGGATGTCCTTACAAAGCTTTTAGCATGCATATAATATTCTTTTTTATTTCTTATGTAAGTATAACATCCATACACTAAATTGTACCTCACCCTTTTGGGGTTTTTTTGGTACTGGAGATTGAACCCAGGAGTGTTTGACCCCTGAGCCACATCCCCGGCCCTTTCTAGTTTTTGTTTTGACACAGAGTCTAAGTTGGTTAGGGCCTCGCTAAGTTAATGAGGTTGGTCTTGAACTAGTGATCCTCCTGCCTCAGCCTCTTATAAGTCACTGGGATTATAGGGGTGCACCACCACAGCCAGCCACACCTCCCATTTTTAAAACTGCTTCCTCCACATAGTCTTTGTCCTGCTTTCTTACCTAACCACATTAGATGCACTCCTTTCGTTAAACTTCATTTGCTTCAAAAAGTGACAGCCATTCATATTTCACTATTACTTCTAATTGAACGAATATTAATAATAAAACCAAATCCTACTTTTGATGAAACTCATTCTCAAAGCAATCAATGGGTGTTCTTCAAGTTCAAAAGAGAATTTAAAATAGGAAAAAGAATCTTTAAATATCTGGTTTTGTAAGGATCCCGCGAAATGTCGGAGAAAGAGACCACCAAGTGACCACTCATGCAATTGGCAGAAGGGGGATTTATTGAACTAGCATGCTGGGGCTCCGTGCCCACTCAAGAAGGGAAAGAAGCCCAGAGCCCCGAGCAGGGGCTGAGCACTGCTTAAATACACTTTTTGGGGAGGGCGGAGGGCTTTGTATACATCAGAACAAATCAGCATTAGGCGCGGGAAAATTGAATAACAACTCCTAAACATGATTGGTTCATTCATTGGCGGGAACAGGTCAGGCTGGAGTGATAGGTCATTCCTAAGGAGGGGGTTACATTTAAACTGATTGGTCCAGGCCCTGCAATGCCTACGTGCGACCACACAGAGCCCTTATTAAACAACCAATAGTCAGGGGAAATATTTACTGGGCAGTTCCAAGCATTGTCTCAACAGCTACAGAAATTTCAGGTTTTGCAGGTAGCATAGATACCTAACAATACCTAATCCTTTACATTTTAACTCAGACCTTGCAGCTTAGAAACTTTACAACACCCGGTCTTTTACCCTTTAACTTTTACGCTTTAACTTCAATTTCTTTTACCCTTACAGTTTAACACCTACATTGTATAAAAGAGGAAACTGTAACCATGAGAGATCACCTGGGTGACTCAGAAGGAGCCCAGGAGCAGAAGCAGAAAAAGCAGCCTCAGAGGGTTCCTTATAGTTCTTGGAACTCTATGATCAACACAGAGTATATTGCTCCTAGCAAAAGCTCTTGAGTCTGAGGGGTTTAGTCTGAAAAAGTCCTGGCTGTCACTAGCTTCCCAATACAGAAAAAGAAGATCCTATCATACTTGTAAAGTTCCAGTATTTTCATTTGTTGAAGCCTACAATGTAAGAGAACCCTTTGACTTAGTTTTGAAAAAATGCAAACAAGAGAAATTCATGGGTTTCCTAATGCCAAAATTAACACTCTTTGGGTTTTCATAAATACAATTATGTAAATAGAATGTCTAAGAATTAAGATAATATATTATAACCTAGTCAGGCATACCCACTCAGAGCCTAAGGAAGCATGGTATGCAGGGTCAAAGGAGGTAAGGAGGCTTGTGAAATTCAATTATGACTTAATGGTAAGACATTTCTTTTTTTTTTAATATTTATTTTTTAGAAGTAGTTGAACACAATACCCACAATTCCTTTATTTTGTTTTTTTATGAGATGCTGAGGATCGAACCCAGGGCCTCGCACATGCTAGACAAGCGCTCTACCGCTGAGCCACAATCCCAGCCCCCATTTTCTTTTTTTTTTTTAGAATATTAATTGACAAAGGAATAGGAAAAAAAAAAACCGGTTTCTGTAGTTCAGTAATTTTGGTGAAAACTTGGTAATTGATTCTCAGCTACTTCAAACACAACTAGTAATCAGTCAGCTGAGCAATAACAGGAACTTCCCTATGAAAGATAAAAATATCTTTTTCAATGAAAAACATTGAATAAGCTTTTTTTATACAGCTTGCATCCAATTATTAGCAAGTCTAAAGTTTTGGATTCTGGTTACCAAAAAAAAAAAAAACTTTAACCCAAATGACATTTTGCCAAAATGCAACTGAGCTTCAGGCATTTCAGGAATCAATGCAAGTTGTGAATTAAATTCAAATTAAATGCTAAAGAATTAAGAAGAAATTACGACTAAGAGGTGGGAATAGGCATATGGGTCAAAAATTTAGTACAATGAAGACAACAATAGAATACTTTTAAGTTTTATAGGTATAGATCCTTTACACAAAACCCATATTAAATTAGAAAGGCAAATACTTGTTTGCAGCTGACTAGAAAACTTTGAACTCCTGAATGTAATGTAAGATCTGCTAGGACCAAAAGCATCTATTAGAAATTAACTTTCTAACTCAAAGAAAGATCTCTTACACATGTCTTTACTTAGCTGAACCAAGTATCATGAACTTGCAAATCTTTCATTACCATCACAGCATTTACCCAGAACATGCACACCCCACTAACACAAAATGCCTGAGTTCCATGTGTAAGCCCTCATTGGTTAACTTAAAATACCCATGCCAGTGACTGTGGGTGTGAATTTGACACACATATTTGTATCTTATTATTGTTAGACTATATCCATAACCTCAAAAACTCTGCTTTAGTACTGATTATTCTAGAGGCCTCCATATGACCTAAGCCCCTAATTCACAATCTTCTCCAAGAGATGAATGAGATGTCAGGAGTCACCAAACAGAAGTCAAGCTCCCTCTCATTATTTTCATGTATGAATTACAGCTCATAAGGCTAAAATGCTCACAATTATATACAACAACCTTCTTATGAATGAAAGCAGCTGCTTAGTGGGGATCCTATTTGCTTAATCAGAGAAAAGCACCCTCACCCTATCCTTAAACAACCATTTAGCCAGAAAAAAAAAAAAAAAGGCACACTTGTTTGGACAAAGGACAAAAAAGGGTGTTTTTATTCAACCCCAGTTGAACCGGCTTCTGTTAACACATAGTATTTCCTGAATGTATACTCAAGCCAGCTACCAAGCTGAGCAGGTATAAGCACTACCTCATTTAAGCCTCAAAATGATTCTAGGAGAAGGAAACTAATATTTTTCCCCCCTGGTGCTGGGGATGGAGCCCAGGGTCTTCTGCATACTATACAAGCCCTCTACTACTAAGTTATAGCCCCAGTCCACTAATCTTTGTTTCATATGAGCAAACAAGCATGGGTGAAGAAACCAAGTCACCTGCCACAGCTCATAGAGCTGACAGGTGGGAAACTGGGGTTGGGACATAGGCCCAAGTACATAGGCCCAGAGGTGACCAACTGGTGACCCCTGGTCAGTCTGGGACACAGATTCACTTGCCCCACTCTGTTTGTGTATTTGTTATTTACTTATTTATTTTTAGTTGGAGATGGACACAATACCTTTATTTTACTTACCTATTTTTTATGTGGTGCTCAGGATTGAACCCAGTGTCTTACACATGCTAGGCAAGTGCTCTAACATTGAGCTACAAACTCAGCTCCTATGTTTGTATATTCTTAAGATAGATGCCAATTATTTTTTAAATGTTCACAAAAAATACAGATTTCTCACTACTCTTGGAAACCACATCTTGCTAAACTATAGGAATTCCTCGAGACCACAATGAGCTGGAAGTAAGAATTCAGTGTCTGCTTCAAGCCAAACATAGTCTGTAGTCCCCACTTTCTCCTAACATCCTGTTCTTAGGCAGCTTTGCTCCTCTGTCTCCTGCTGAGCCTGACTAGCATCTGTGCTTATTTGTAAGGACTTGGTCATGTCTTGAGGAATTCAGGGGAGGTCTTCATATGTGACTTTTCTGAACACTATGGAAGACACTTGACCTGTTCAAGGTCCCAAATACTTCAGTGGCTCGATGTTGAAAAGTCCTCAACCCCAAGATCTGTTGTGTCCTTGTTTAAGTACAACGGTGTAAGCTGTGGATTACTGAAAGTGCTCCACTCTTCCAGGTCAAGCCAATTACTTACTGTCATATCTGAAGGTAATGTTGTGCAGTCCGCTGTTCCTGCTGGCTGGCCCCACTCCCTGTGGGAAAACGAGAATAAAATTAAGTATGAAGCCAACTGACTTTTCCAACACAGATCCCCATGGAGTCTAAATGCAACATTGCAGAGGCTTGGTGTCATACAAGTCCCCAAGTATCATCCACCATTCTTTCCACCCATCCTATGACATCACAACTGCTAAACATCCTCCAGCCCAAGAGATTTCTTACTGCCAGGTCACAGGGGATCATGGACACTCATTTCCCCTGAGACAATAGGAACAGGCTATTCTATTTTAGGGGTTAAATAATTCATTAATAGTAAAATTGGGAATAAGACTAGGGCTGCCAGCTGGAGTCGTTCCAGTTGGATACACTTTTAGCACTGATTGGTTATAAAATTCTCTTACCAGACGCCCTCATCTGAAAGCTCTATTAAGCCAAGACAGATAGGCAATTCCTCAAGTCTAAGGAAACCAGTTTCTCATTCCCAGACTGGGAACGAGTGTGGGAATAAGCCGTTACTTTTAATGAGAAAATTCTTCACTGCATCCATACCTATGCTTGGAATACATAGGGTGGGTCATAAAAGAAAAAGAAAAAAGACTTTAAAAGGTCTAATTCTTAACTGTTGGTGATGTGGCCATTAGCCATCTGCACTCTTAATAGCAGGGCTAACAACTCCGCCAGACTTCCCACTTTAATTACAGCATCCATAGAGAATCCTCCTACTGACCCCGCCTTTTCCTACCCCACGGTTTATCCATTATGGGAAAGAGCAGCTCTAAATCTACCCACTTTGACTTAGCTGTTTCTCTAATAATCTGCAAATGTGCCATTGAGTATTAATTGCAGAATTCTCTAAAATAGGTTAATTCTGAAGAGCTAAATGATGGGAAAATATTCTAGCCACACAGCTAAAGTTTCCACTTAACAAGGAGGATGTTGGGGAAAACCATATGCTGGCAGCCTGGTATTTAATGGGCAATTGTTACACTGAGACACAATGTGGAGAACACTTCTGATGGGGCCCAGGTTTCAGGCCACAACCCCATCACATCCATATGCTTCAGGCATGTTCACGCTGTTTATCCTGAAGCCAGTCACGCCCACTGAAACCATATCCCTGAGCTCAGATATACATGAACCTTGGGAAAGCACAGCTATGCAGAAAGGGACACACACCCCACTCTAAAGTGGGAAAATAAGTAAGCAGTAACACAAAACCTAAATCTACATGGTCCCCCAACCCCTGATCTGTGGTGGCTCCCCTTCTTCCTGGTTCACCTTCATTCTCTAGCTTCCTCCACTCACTTTTACTTCCCCACATATGTAAAGTTCCAGAACTCCTCGCCTGAAATGAAACTTTGGAAAGTACTGTTACCTTATTAAAATCCTTAGAGTATCCATGACTACTTAGGGACAAGTCACAAGCTAGAGGCTGCCCAACCTTCAGAGATGGCAGAGACCCTGAGCGACAACCAGGCAGGAGAACAGTCCCTACAACCCTTTGGGAATGCCAGAGACCAAAGCATAAGACCCTCAAACCACCCTTCTTCTCCCTACAGAACTTCAGGTTAAACTTACTCCTCAAATTTGCCATCCTCCTGCCTCAGCCTCCCACATTGCAAGGATTATAGGCACGTGCTGCCATGTCTGGCAAGGAGGTACTTTTCAAAAAGGAAACACATTCCATTTAATAGCATATTCCAAAGTACACAGGGACTCTGGAGACCAGTCACTCTACTTGCTGGACATAGTCAGCTTTTGGTTTTGTTCCTGTTTCCCTTATATTGCTTTTGTAGCATGGTTTTTGCTTTTGTTTGTTTGCAATACTGGGGATTGAACCCAGGGCCTCACAGATACTATGCAAGCACTCTACCACTGCACTATATCCCCCGCCCTTTTCTTTCATTTTATTTTGAGACAGGGTCTCATTAAGCTGCCCAGTCTGACCTCGAACTTGTTATCCTTCTGACTCAAATCTCCTGAGTAGCTTGTAGTCAGGTGCTGCCAGAGCTAGCAGTAGCATATTTTTAACAGATATTTACCAGGCACTTGCAATGGCTAATGCATTGTGGAAAGAAGCCCAAGACAGTGATGCAAGCAAAAACCTAAATCCCTCCCAATAAGGTCTCTGTGATGTATGTGGAGCTGTTCAGAAGAGGGTCAGTGAGCTGAACTCAAGGATCATAAGGCTTGAGTGTGGCATCCATTCACAACCCACTGAGCATTTCAACTTGTCTTACACCCCACAGGGGTGGGCACTCAGTATGAACCAAACACAGGTCCTGACCTCAAGGAACTTTGGGTGTCAAGATAAGCTTCAAACACACGTCTAACCTCACTTCCCTCCTTCCAATGCTTCACAAGTTCCATGTTCCTCTAGACCTTTCCTGGTGTGGCTACTTCCTTCCCCACCTTCCAAACCTCGCAAAGCACTGCAGTTCCACTCAGATGCTCCTGCATCTCAAGAGTCCCCTTCTCTTCTTCCCATGAATCTCTTCCCATCATCCAGGTCCTGCTTCCTGGTGGGCTGCCTTAGTCCAGCCTCTATCATACCAGGTTCCTGATACATCAGTCTACCTACATGGCACTTCTGCACATGTCAGTGTGAAATGGTGATTCTAATTCCACAGAAAATTAGAGACCCTAAGACCCTGTGACCAGCCAACCATGGACATGGAGTTCAGAAAGCAAAAGATGCCATCCCAGGTACCAGTTCTTATCTGCACTTTAAAAACACTTTCACTCCTAGAAGTTCTCCAATGCACAGCCTCAGTACATGTATCACAGATGCTCCACAGGGTTGTCCTCAGCTCACACCAAATAATGCTTCAGCTGCTCCACAGCCCTCAAAAACCACCTTAGAAATGGTATACCCAGGCTGGTCCTCAGAACCCTGCTGTTCCTTTATATTCCAAGGCTGACAGAAATGATGGTCTCCAGAACATGTCCACATTCTTATCTGGAACCTGAGACTGTTATTTCACATAGCAAAAGGAACTATGAGGATGTGATTAAGTTCAAGGATGCTGAAATGCGGATAGTATTCTGGGTTCTCCAGGTTCTCAGATGAGTCCAATGTTATCACAAGGATTCTCATAAGAGGGAGACTGAAGGGTCAGTGTCACAGAAAAGGAGATGTGACAGTGGAAGCAGAAGAGTGGCAGAGATGACTGGAAGATACATATCACTGATTTTGAAGACAGAGGAGGAAGGAGTGACTGAACCAAAAAATGCGACAGCCTCTGGAGCCTGGAAAAGGAAAGGAATGGATCCTCTCCTATGGCTCCAGAAGGAACCAGTCCTGCATACACCTGATTTCAACAGATTAAGACCCATTTTGGAGTTCTGCTTCCGGAATTACAGAATATTAAGTCTATATCATTTTAAGTCATTAAACCTATGGTAATTCTTCACAACAGCACTTAACAGCTAATATATGCATATATTTCACCTGCAATACAAATGAACTGGACCTTGATGCCACACACCTGGTGTGTGTTGTCATTCTTCCCATCCCACTCCCAGAAGTGATCACTCGATGCTGCCTTCTCTCCCACCCTGGTCTTAAGCAGAAATCCTGATCCATCAGAGCAGCTGTTGAGATTCTGCCATTCTCGATGTGGACTTCTATGGGCTGACCTGGGGTTTATATGGAATTGAGGTTAAGAAAATGGGGTTGGCCTTACAAAGATGTGTGTTCAAAGTACCCACTTTCCCTGTGACCTTGGGCACATTTCCTAGCCTCATTTCAGAGGTTCAAACGCTCTGGAGACTTCCTGTAAAAGACTGGTAGGGGGATACATCAGATGACATATATCAAGTGCTCAGCACAGCATCTAACACATAACAACTAAGAAATGTTTATGTCATCCTTCCTAATAAGATTCCTGCCTCAATAAGCAGGTATGAGCTAAGCTGCAGGGATGACAATGTGGAGACACTCAAGGGAGGCAGGAGGTACAGAGACAAGTTTCTGTCTCCACTGTACAGAAACTTGAAGGACCATAGGATACATAGCAAATAGGTCAGGGCAAGGTGGCAGAAGGTGCTGACCACCAGGCTAAGGAGTGTGTTCTGCTGGTAATCCCTGTGGGAACTAGATGATCTGGTAACTCCATCTATGAAATCTGCACAAGATAAAGAACAGAGGTAGATGACAGCATGGGTGAGAGGACTGTCCCCAAACCCCTGGCCCATTGTCGTGGGCCTGGGTTCATACATAGTCAGCCCTTGATACATATTAGTTTTCTAATGAAATGAATTTGTGATTAAGCTATGTAATACACACAAGAACCTAGTGTGGTGTTTTCACAGTGATTTATAGGCTTAGAATGAAGGCCCACACCAAGAGAAAACAGATAAGGCCACTCACAAATCTGGTCAGCAGCTTTATAAACTGTTCTTCAGGAAACAATCCCAAGCTGTTAGCTACTACACTGTTTTGATATTTAATGAGCTGACAATTAAAAATACTTGTTTGCTGCCTGTTACTTAAAACCTATAAATGCCAATGCTGTGGCCTCAGGGTGCCACATTCTTAGTTAATTAACTACCCCCATTTGCTCTTCTAACGGGTACCTTTTAATTTGTTTCAAAGGGAACTAAGATGCTAGCTCCAGGAGCCTGGAGCTCCACTATGAAATTCCTTTGGTTGATGCTCTGTGGTAAGCAGAGACGGAAGCAGCAAATGGGAACATAATGGAGAAAACATCTTCTACTCAGGAAGGATGGGGGAGGATAACTCTTAAGTGCTCTGAAGGATTAAAATTCAAAAAGTGAAAACCCACACCATGCTCCAGCCATATGGCAAGAAGCAAAGGCCTGGACACAAAGACTGCCAGCCATCCATGGCCAATTTCCTGAGGAGTCATGAGGATTTGGGGCCATCTGAAGACACCAACTCCCTAGAGCAACATTTCCAATCCAGCTCCAACAAGGTTTAACTGCCATTTTGGAAAAAAAAGCATTTTGAAAAGGACTGTGCTATAAATACAGTGTCCCCTTTTCCAATAGAATGTTGGCCAAATGATAA